TAGCGCTTGTGCACCATGTAGGTCTCGTGGCGGCTGAACCGGATGCTGCAGGCTTCGCACACGGTCCGGCTGGGGTCGTCGTCCGGCTCCTCCACGGAGCTGGCCCCGGGGCTCTGGCTGTCCTCGCTCAGGCGCCCCGCCCCCTCTGCCTCGGGGGAGGGGCTGGCTTTCGCCCCGCCCTCGTCCCCCTTCGCCTCCTGCTTGATCTCGGGGACAGGGGGGGTGGCCGCCGGGCCCCTTTCCCCCTCTGGCCCCCCAGGCTTGCCGTCTCCAGGCGGTGGTGGCGGCGGTGGCGGGAGCACCCCGGGGGTGGGGGGCCCTTTGGAGGGGGCGCAAGGTCCCGCCTTGACCTTGTGGGGCCCGGGAGAGGTCTCCTCGGCCGCCCGGCGGCTGGAACAGTAGAGCCGCTTGTGGACGTAGTAGTTGTTGATGTTGTTGAAGGTGATCTCACACTCGAAGCAGGTGGCCCCCTTGGGCACGGGGCCCCCCGGGAAGAGGGCCGGGGGCACCCCTCCGTGGCCCTGCTTCAGCCGGCCATGCACCAGCTCGGACATCTTGGCCAAGATCTCGGAGGCCTGGGGCACCACCAGGGCCTCGGGGCCAAAGACATACTGGGGCAGGAAGAGGGTGCCGGTGGGAGCACTGGAGCCCGGCTCAGGGGGCGCGGGGCTGGAGCCCGGAACGGGGCTGGTGACCTCCGACTTCACCTTGACGGAGCGCAAGCTGTGCGGGGAAGAGGCCCTGGAGGAGGCCTCCGGCTCTGGCTCCGAACTAGCCAGGGTGGTCCTTGCCTGGAGGGGCCCGGCATGCCCTTCCTCCTCTTCCCCCTCCTCCTCCTCCTCCTCCTCTTCCTCCTCCTCGGGGGGCTCCTCCTTGACCTGCACCAGCGGAGCCGCATCGGCCAAGGCAGTGCAGGGGCTTCCCTTCTGAGGAGGGGAGCTGTTTGCCGCTTTTTCCTCGGCAGGGGTTGCCTTGGTTGCCGGCTTGGCCGCTTTCACCGGGGCCTCCGGCTGGCTATGGGTGGCTCTCGGCTCTGAGCTGGGCAGGACAGCTGCCGAAGCAGCCGCTGCCGCCACGCTGTGCAGGACCACGTGTTGCTGGAGGCTGGGCAAGCAGTCGGCCACGTAGCCGCAGAAGCTGCACTTGAGCGTTGGCGCTGGCACGGGGCTGCCCAAACCTGCAGGGAAAGGAGGAGAAGGCAGCCGTGAAACCCCCGGGCCTTGCCGGGACGAGAGGCTCCCAGGGCCACTTGGTTTCATTTTCCTAGCTCCGGGCTGTATTTGGTACGGCTTAGCTGAGAAGTATAGTAAATCTTAGAAGCCTGAGATGCTTCCCTTAAATACAAAGTGAAAAACAACACCCTCTGCTCCCCAAGGTCACGTCCTCTGAGAACTCAAGTCTTCCCTCAAACACATCCACCTGCCCATCACACTCCACCTCTAACTGCGACTCCCTTTTCGCTGCTTGGGCAGAGGAGGAAGGGAGGGAGACCTGGAGAATGCAAGCTTCCCCAGACTACTGACACCCATTAGGAGCCCTCGGAAAACTGTATTTCCCAGTGCTCCCAGTGCCTGGGTCACAACTCACAGGGTGACACCTGGCACAAAGAGTTGAAGTGAGGTGGGTGGGATGGGAAGAGAGATCCTCTCCCCTCTGCTGCTCCGGCTGCCCAAGTGACCGATATGGGGTTTGGGCGCAAGTGGGCTTGGAAGAGAAGGAAAGGAGGAGGGAAGGCAGGTGGGAGCTCTCTGGGAAGGGGCCAGGCTGGGCCACGATGCTCTCCTGTCATTTCCTTAATCATCTCTGAGCCCTCCAGGCCACCTTCTCCTCTATGAGGAGAACCAGCCTTGGAAGGTCATCACTCATCTGAACATGCGCGCATGGCGCGGACAAGACATGCATGGACCGCACAGGGGCCATGAAGGGGAATACATTTTCTCCACTCTGCTCCTGCGGCGTTTTATGCTTGCTGCGATTCTCGAACCCGTGTCTCCCCACTCCCTGGCCTGGCACTCTGACCACCCCACCAGGCTGGTTCTGTTTCACCCCTGGTGCTGGAGACCCTCCAGCCCACAACTCACCCGGCGTCAATGGTTTTGTGGCAACAGCAGTAGCAGCAGCAGCAGCAGAAGAAGGAACCATCGCACCCGGGGAATAAACCTCTCCCTTGGAGCCTGGCTGGCAGATCATGTGGTTGGTGACCAGGTGGCTGTAAAGGATGTCCCTGGTGGTGGAGATGAAGCCACAGCTGTGGCAGACCCCTGCCGGCAGAGAGACGGAGACGTGGGTGCAGGAACCACCGCCCCCCTTCAAACAACTCAGACCTAGCTCGCTGTCTTCTAATGGGGGTGGAGGGGCCTTCTGCACAGCTCGCTGGTGCCCGGTCTTGAGCCACAGCCTGGAACCAGCTGGTAGGGGGGGCACCGGTGGAGAGTTTGTGGGAGGCGGGGGGGGGTCCTCTGGGCAGCAGCCATGAACAAGAGATGGATCCCTTGCCTCTCTCGAGCTCAGGAGGGTAACTTTTCTGGAGTAACCCCACCATCCCCACCATGCCTGGTGGTCCTGACCCAGCATGCTTCTTGGACACCGCACGTCAAGAAGGATGCTGGCAAACGGCAGTAAGGATGATTAGGGGGCTGGAGACCAAGACCTAGGAGCAGAGACTCAAAGATCTGGGCATGTTTAGCCTTGAGAAAAGAAGGCAGAGGGGAGAGAGGAGAGCACTTTTCGTCATACAAAGGAGGGGGAGGATCTGTCTCCAATCATCCCGAAGTGCTGGACGCCTAATAACGGACTCCAGCGACAGGAAGCCAGATTTAGGCTGAGTATCAGGGAAAACATCTTAACGGTTAGAGCAGTACGACAACGGAACCCATGACCTTAAGGGGAGGCGGTGAGCGCTCCAGGGCTGGAGGCATTCAGGAGAAACCTAAGACAACCACCTGGCGGATCTCCTTTGACACGTACACCTGCCTTGAGCAGGGGGCTCGGAGTTGGTGGCCTTGGTGGCCCCTTCCAACTTAAATGATTCTGTGATTCTATGATTCTACTGCGCTAGCGACAGAAAGCACGAAACACGGTGAACACTGAACAGCTTGGGACCCTCCTAGCCAGAGGCTAGAAAAGCTGTCCCCTGGGCCACCGTTCCCAGAATCCTCCTGGTAACAGACAGGGTGGAAAGGGAGGGCATTCTGGGGGTGGTAGATTCAAAGGAGCCCCCCCCCTCCCGGCTCAGAGGGTCCCCAGCGGGGAGACGCATTTCCTCCTGGCTGGCTGGCTGGCCGGCCGGGGCTCGCCAGCGCAAGAGGGGCTTACCATTCAGCGTGTCCGTATGAACCTTCAGGTGACGCTCGCAGTTGGCTTTAGTGGTGAAGGCAGAAAGGCAGATGAGGCAGACAAAGGGCCTCTCTCCTGGAAGAGAAGCCGGAAGCAAGCAAGGGCGTCAGGACATCGAAACATTACAGCGCACCACCGTCGTCCCATTGCCCAAACGGCAGGGCCGGCCCAAGAAATCTGGGTGTGCTCCCCCAGCAGGTGGGCTGTCCCAGCCCTGAGAGGAACCCCAGGAGCTTCTGAAACATGCCCAGAAGAGGCATGAAGGAGTCAGGTGGTTCTCAACTACCCTAAAAACGGGGCCGTCGAAACATGGCATGACTGATCCTTTGGCATCTGGTCAAGACTGGCTACGTGCTTCTAGGGAGCTGGCACCCCAGTGCCTTCCCGGGCAAGGCTGGGGAGGGGAGTTAGTGGTGGCGCTTGTTCCGAGCATCCCGCCAGCAATCGGGGAAGAGAGTGAGCGTGGAGGAGGCTTTCAAGCCTTTGGGTCCACTTGCGGACATTTTCTGACGGAACACAGATCCAGCCTGCCCACTGAAGTCCCTGGCTAGGGAGCAAGGCCCATGGAACTTCACTTCCAGAATTGCTTCCGAGAACAGATGCTCCAGATTGCAGGATCGCAGTTTTGATGCAGAAGATGCAGCCCCTAAAATATTCCTTGACTTCCACGGAGAGGTGGGTTTTTCCCCCAAGGGGTGGGGGGGTGGCTGCCAGTTCCAGACCCTCTCTCTCTCTCTCTCTCTCTCTCTGTGCAATTTCTTGTTGTTTAGTCGTTAAGTCGTGTCCTTGTCTTCATGACCCCACTTAGCTGAGCTGTCTTGGTCTCCTCCTTCACCTCCCCCCACCTCCGAAATGAGCCCCCAGCCGCCCGCTGGGAGAGGTGCCCCCCCTCATACCACTGTGGCTGCGCATGTGGATCTCCAAGGAGCTGGCGCTGGGGCAGCTCTTCTGGCACTGAGGGAAGGGGCAGACGCGCTCGTTGGGGTAGGCCTCCTTCGGCTTCTCCTCCACCGTCGGCGAAGCGGCGTTTTGCCGGCTGGCGCAGTAGAACGTCAGGTGGGCCCGCAGGTTGCGCTCGCTCCGGTACCAGATGCCACAGTCCTTGCATGGGAACACGTCCTCTGGAGGGGAGGGTCCGCAAAGAGAGAGAGAGAGAGAGAAAGAGAGAGAGAGAGATTATGGAGAACACGGAGGTGGAAGCGCTGGATGCCATCCCGAGAAATGGCAAAAGAGGCAGAGCTTGGGAGATATCCTTGTGTATGGGGGGGGGGACTACAACTCCCATATCCCACTGCCAGCCTGAGGGGAGCTGTAGTTTACTGGTGCCGCACACCATCTGCATCCCTAGTTCACCCTTTAACCAGCAGCATCTTCAGGAAGTGACTGGAAAAACACCTTCCTGGGATCCGGGAGGACCACAGATGCTGCCAGTCAGAGTAGACCATATGGGGCCAGAGGGACACCAAGGGACCAGCTCTGAAAGGCACCCTTCTAGGTAAGGGGAAGGTTGGTGCAAGCTACAGCCGGGCAACCACTGCTTAGGCGGATAGAGGCCCATGCCTTCTCTACCTCACTGAACAAAATCTTGCTGGTTAGTCGAGTATGTTGCGACGAGAGAAGGCGCAGTGGAGCATCGGGGAATCCCACTGATTCCATGGGCCTAATCTAGTCGCAACTTACTAGGCTAAGCAACAGGATTTCAGTCCCTGGTTGGTTTGCCTGACACAGAAAATGGTAAGAGGGGGAGAATCATGCATGGCCCCAGTTCCTGGGGGAAAATAAGAAGAAGAAACGCAATAAATATATTCAGAGGCCATTTCCCACACAGAAAGATGCCTGGGATGTACAACTGCAAGAAATGTAATTTCAAAAGCCAATTTGAACAACTACAACTAGAACAATCACCATAGTCAAGGTGTAGCTGCAGAGCTTCAAAATGTTGGTGTTTTGATTTATTCATATATGGATGTTAAACCGTTAAGAATACTTTATGGAGTTAATTTGTTAACTGGTTCACCTAAGATGGAAATGTCATTTAGACTTACTAATAGGACCAAGCAGGGATTAAAGTAATATGAACCGTGAAATCGTTACTCAAAAATAACATTATTTATACTGAACAATTAGGATCATTATTTTTAGACCTGTTATTGATTCTGCCCTTCCCTCCTTGGGTTTGCGGGGTAATGATTTCTAACGGATTATGTCCAAGCTATGCAGAACAGGAACCACAAATCCAACACAGCCCGAGTCTCCTCGTGAAACAACGGTATGACCCAACAAGAACCATGAAATGGCCTGATCCAGCCAGGGTCCAGTTCCCCAGCTGGCCACTTACTGTTCACGACTGCCGTGGCCAAGATGGCCGCCATGCCTGCTTGCTGGGGCAGAAGCTGGATTTCGGGGGGCAAGGAGGCCAGATAAGAAGACTCCCCGGCCTCAGTCTTCACCGTGTGGTTGGGGATCCCCATGGGCTCAGCCATGACGAAGGCCCTCAGCGCCTCTCCTTCCAAGATGGCCTTGGTGGTCTTGCACCAGATAGAGTTATCTGAGGACAGGGCAGAGACAAAATGACCTCAGGTGAACTGCTCTCTCTCTTTGTGTGTGTGTGTATATATATATGGGAGTGCATTTCAAAAGCGATCAGCGAGGGGAAGGGTCCCCCCCCCGGCACGGTACTGCCACTTTGGGAGGGCTCCAGCTAAGACATGCTGCAATAAGTGAATTAAAATAAAACAAGCTGATCCTGAGGGGCCCTCAGAAGACCACACTCCCTCAGCCTCAGGTCCCCACTTTAAAAACAGGCAGGCGGGCGACCTGCCTCGGAGGGCCCAGGAGAAGCTTTAAAAAGAGGAAGATTTCACCTCCCTGGAGAGAACAGCAGGACCTACTCTGCAAGGGCTGGTGCCTGCAAACCACACGGCCACCCATAGGGGGCAGCATTGGCCCAGGCATTCACCAGCATGCACTCCGTGGTCCGTACCCCCCCCCCTCAATTAGTAACTCTTGGGTACTCCCTGCCCATCACTTTGGCCTCTCCAGATTTTTAGCATCGGTTGCTCCTCGCCTGTTCTCCTTCATTCCTCCTCTGCCTGGAACTCCTCAATGCTCAAACAAACCCACCACCCATCTCTCTCTCTCTCTCTTTCTCTCTCTCATTCATCTTTTCCAGGAGTGGCTTGCCTTAATCTTTAATCCCTTCTGCTTTAAGCAACTAATGTTTTCAGTTCAATCAGCTGCCATTTCCCTGCAATCATCCCCTTGCCCTTTTCACCACTCTTTCTGTTATTTTCTCCATTGTTTCTCACAAGATTGTATCCTCCTAGATGGCAGGGACCTGTCTGTTCCTTGCCTAGGCAACTCCCGACGAACAAGAGAAGAAATCACGACAAGATCAGCAGAGCTATGTGAACAGATCAGATATGGTAGGTAGGTAGGTAGGTAGGTAGGTAGGTAGGTAGGTAGGTAGGTAGGTAGGTAGGTAGGTAGGTAGGTAGGAGAGAGATAGAGAGAGAGAGAGACTGACCCTTCTTGTAGATCACAGAATTCGCCTCGCCTTCACCCGGCACCAGTGGCAGCTTCGACAGCCAGCAACAATCATCTTCCAGCACAAGGGTCACTGGCTGGTTGGCCTAGCAAGAGAACCAGAGGCACGTGAGCGCATTCCGAGTCTACCCATTTCACGGGAAACAGCCTCATGGGCCTATGAGTGGTCCTCGTTTGACCAGATAGGCGGGATATAAATAAAATAAATAAATAAATAAATGATGGGCCGAAGGCCAACGGTTGGCCCCACCACTCCTGGGCACCGGCCAGAGACGGGGTGGAGGTCTGTATCTTTCTTCACCTCCTTTAAGGTTTCACACTGTGCTCAGAACCTGGTTTGGGAGTCACGTTAGTGGCAGGATCCAGAATTCGTAAACCTCTGTGAGCACCTCCACAGGTTCGGCAGGGTGCCCAACTCTGCACCAGCCCCTCCCTCAGTGTGCCTGCGCCCCAGAAGAAGAGGAAGCCCAGAGCTAGCAGGACACAGCCCCTGTTGTGCATCACACACACACACACACACACACACCCTTGTGGAAACGGATGCCCGCCTGCCTTGCTGCCCAGCTGACCCGATGGCATGGCTTGAGGCCAACGGAGCAGCGTGCCTGGAAACACAACAGGCTTGTTATTTCCTCTCTCTCTCTTGACCCCGGGGCCCAGTGTTGCCGGCTATGGAGGAAACAGCCCCTTCACCCCGTCACCTCAGCCACGCACAGGGAGGAAGAGAGAAGGGAGGGGGAGACGGTCAGGAGGAGGGGAGGAAATGGACCGGTCCTCGCTTTGCACCACCTGAGCAAAACAACAACGGGCACCCCAGCTCCTGGGCCCTGACCACTCCCCACCCCCACCTTCATGGTGCTGCCTCCGGCACAGACTTCCAGGAGAGAAGGAGAAAGTGCCAGGAAGCCAGCCAGCCCGCGCCCGAGGCCACGATCCCCGTTGACCTGAGGAGAGGCCCGCCTGCCACAGAAGGCGAGATCCCTTCTCGTCCCCCAACAAACAAGCTGGCTATCCCTTCCCGCGGGGATCCTGGTGGCCAGCCTGGCGCTCTGATCCTGTGGAGCTGCTCCGCCTGCCTGCCCGGGCAGAGATGCCCTCGGCCCCCAGCCGTGTCCCCCAAACCAGGCTCTCCGGGCTGCAAAGCATCGCCTCGGGCTGGCCGGCCGGCCGGCCCCACAGGGAAGCCGTGCAGACAGAAGGGAGTGGGGCGGCGGGCACCCACATGTCGCCTTGTGCCTGCTGGAGGAAAAGTGGGGTGGAAACGGAAGGAGATGGGAATGAACGAGGGAACGGCTCCCCCGCTTGTGGTCTGTGGAGGTTTTGTCCTTCTAGAGACGGACGGCTCCTTTTGAGCTCCTGTCAGGGTCCAAACGGAGTCCTCTGGGTCACGACTGAAGGGGCCAGCAGGCCTCGTGCCCATCGCGTTGGATCAGCCCCGACTCTGCCCAGGTTGGGCAGGAAGGTTCACCTTGGCGGGACCCCCTGGTGGGAAACGTACCGTGCCATGCTAGTAATTCACTTAAGAGGGTTTCAACAGTTTCAAAATGGCCCAAGCCGTCCTACAGCACGTGGGCAAAATGGAGCCCTTATGAGGGTGTGGGTGGGATCTGCTCCCCCCCCCTCCAGGCCATTTCTGGTAACCATTGAGGGCTGGAATGGAAAGGCAGATTCGGGGTGCAGAGGCCCACAGAGTAGAATAGGGGCATGTGCTTGTCTCCACAAACGCCGCAAGACACACACACACACAAGCAGCTTCCTTGACTGTCTTTTCCTGCCCTATCCTGCCCTCCTCGCACGCGCGCGCCCCCCTTCGCCCCCGTTGCTGCTCCCTTAACTTTGCAGGCCTTGGACTCTGCCTTCATCTGCCGCTAATGAATATTAATGAGAAGGGAGGGAGGGGGGAGGGAGGGAAGGGGGGGAGAGAGAGCGAGGGAGGGAGAGAAAAAATTAATCTGCCTGATCCTTCGATGGCTGCAGCAGTAACGATATGAAATCTAATTATTCGTACCAATATTTCTAAACCCTCCAACTCAGACTGACAGTCTTGGTCGGTTTAGGGCTTATCGCTTGAAGGAGCAGAGTGCTCACAGCTTGATAAAAAAAAAACCACACACACACACACACACACATTCTCCCCAACACTCACTCACACACGCGTGCATGCACACACGCTTCTGCTGATGGTGTGAGAAAAGCAGCCTTTCTAATTCCGGCAAGTGCATCTCCATGTACAGTATGTGGGTAGCTCTCTGTGCGTGCACGCGCAGAAATAAGTGTGTCGCTGAAAGTGTGTCCATGTGGGTGGCATTTTTGGGTGGGAGGGGGGCAGCAGGCGTCTCTCCCGCTGTTCGGCTGAATCAGCACTTCAGTCAGTGGCGACACACACACACACGCACACATGCACACACACACACACACATATGCATACACACACACACGTACCGTACCCCAGGCTAGCATTTGAGAGTGGGGTCCCTGCGCTGACCCACACTGAGCAGGGAGGGACACTCTTGAGCCAGCGGTGCTTCCGTGGGGAAAAGCCACATAAACACCCAATCCCGTCTGGGCCGCCCCCTCCCCACCTCAAAAGCAGAAGGGCAGAGTCCATTTAGCTTGCTGAAAAAGACTCTCTCTCTCTCTCTCTTGTACTCATGCAGTTCTCCTCTTCCCCTTAAAGCCCCCCTCCCCAGAAAGGAAAACACCCTCAAAATAAACAAATAAAGAAGTCCTCTTAGATCAACCACACTGGGCGTAACTGATGCCGAGACAAAGGTGGCCTGGAAGGGCGATGCCCCACGGAGAGGGGAACACCCCCCCCAGGGAGCACAGGAGCCCTGCTCCCCCATTGCCCCCCCGACCCTATAGCTGGCATGCCAGCTTCACCAGGCAGCAGGACCTCCGAGGGATGAGCTCCCAGCTCGGCCACCAGCCCGCCATTTGAAGCAGGAACCGTGGCCGTCGGAGTCCCAAGGTGCCAGAGTTGGACAGCCCAACTTCTTCTTCTCCCCCCCCCCGCGCCCCCCTTGCCTTCTCTGCAGATGGGCTCCTGGCAGCCGCCTCCTGGCCAGCCGGGGTCCCAAACAGCCCTGGCTCCCTGCAAATCTCCCTGGCCCTCCCCAGCGCCCCGCTGGGTGGGGAGCCGAAGCCCCCCCCCCCGAGAGGCACACCCGGGCAACCCTTTCAGGCCGGTTCCCATGCCAGCTCTTCCCTGGGACGTGGCGCTGAAAACGCTCCTTGTTCTCCCCGTAAACAAAGAGGTCAGTGTCTCCGATCCGCCAGAGGCCCGATAACCATCGGAAACTGTATCTGAGCAACATCCGCCCGGGATGCTTTATCTGTGGCAGCCCGGACCCCTCGCCAAACGCCAAACACGGGAAGAAGGGAGAACCGTCACACGGGCTAATCATTAAACAGCCGAGGAGAATTTGGCCTCCTCGCAAGCAGGCAGGGACTGGAGTGGGGGTGGGGGGGCTGGGAGAGAGAAGAGGCTTCTCAGGAGCCACGGATCTCTCCAAAACAGAGCTTCCAAAAGTCACTTCTTTGGAAGGGGGCTACAACTACCTGGATGCGCTGAGGTGAAACTCTGAAACGTCCACTGATAAAAAGACGGTGCTCCACCACCAGGCCAGGGCCAAAGCGGTGGGGGGGGGGAGATCTGAGCAGATGCCCTTGCAGCAAGCAATTCCTCCCCCCCCCCAAGGAATACCTCCCAGCCCTCGGTTCCAAGGAGGTGCCGGCCGGGTTCCTGGTTGGGCTCTTTGGCGTGGGTTGGCACAGTGCCTTGGGCCAGGGGCAGGCGGGGGGGGGGGGGGCTCTCAGAATCCCAGGGTGGAAAAGATTTTTCTCTTCAACACAACTCAAAAAACTGCCCTATTCAATTCTCGCTGGGGGATTATGGGAACCGTAGTCCTCAAAGTAACTTGCCCCAGCAGTCTTGGCTGCCTAGGAATGTCGGAAGAGCTATGCTTGATGGATTCAACGGCACAGCCTTCCAGCGGCTGAAGGGGAAGCCTTGGGGGAGCCCACGCAGATGGCGCGAAGGCGAAAACCTCCATCGCTGGACACGGCAAAATCTGCAGCACGTCGGAACCTCAACCGTGGCCCTCTTTCGACCCACCGGGGAAGCGCAAATGGTGCCCCTTTGCAAAAACCAGCAAGCGTACAAAACCCCACACCTGTCGGAATTATCCCTTGTGCAAAAGAGAAATTGGGAGGGGAGGGAAATGGGAAGGACAACGCACTTCCTCGTGAAACTCTCAAGCGCACACGTGCGATGCAGGGGCAGAAGGGTAAAGGCGGGCGGGCGGCCTCCCTTCCTGGCTGCCTTTCCCCCAGAGGTCTCGCATCCCAGAGGCGCCAAAGGGAAGGTGGCAGTTGGAACACCAGGCTCTCCCTGGTCCCTCCCGGCCTCCCTCTCTTCTCCGCCCTCCAGCCTGAGGAAGGGTCCTGTGAGACTCGGAAGCCAACACCTGCTGGCGAGGTTGCCGTGGTCTAAAAGAGGCCCCACCACCTTCTCGCCCTGTTTGCACTTTTCCTTCCACCCTGTTTTGTGCCCAGAAACAAAAAAAGACCCCAAGACATTTCGTGTTTCTCGGGGGTGGGGGGTGGGGGACCAAGGCCATCCTCTTCACACATACCCCCCCCCAATTCTCTGGCCAGGAGATTTGGGGGGGTGAGGGAGGTAGAGGCAAGTGGCAACATACAGGAAAGGAAGAGAGGGAGAGAAAAGGGGGGGTGAGGAAAGCGGGTGGGGGGGAGGCAGGGCTGGGAATCATCAACACAGCTTGATAAGAGAAGCTGCTGAAATGGGAGCAAAAATATTTAGACAATAAACGAAGTATCAGAAAAAAGCAGCGGCATATCTTTAAGAAATCAATCATCCTGCACCGGTTGTCTGGACAGATGGCGCCACCGGAGAGATAGCCGCCAAGCTGGCAAGATAAGGGTTAATCAAGGATTTAATTCGGCAAAAGATAAACGGGGAGGCTTGAGCGGAGGAGAGACAGAGAGCAAGAGAGAGAGAGAGAGAGAGAGACGGGGGGGAAGAGAGAGAGACAGAAAAAGGAGGCCAAGACTGGGTGTCCCCCTTATTCCTCTGTGAGAGCTGGATAGGTTCCTGGCAGGCCCTCCTCCTCCTCCT